GTGAGAGCCGCCATCTTGCCTTTTCTCAGCTATATGCAAGGTAAATCTAAATTTTGTTTCCTTCAACTTTGTTTCTTTTTCCTTATTTAAATTAGAAAGTTTGAAAGTATTAGGTTTCAGTCACGTAGATAATTGAGAGATTAGACTTTTGGCAGAACTTTAATGACCATCTTTGGTTAAATGTATATACACTTCTGACGTCAGGAACCTCCTAATTAAATCTTTTAGATTTTGCTCTCATCACCTAATCCCTAGTAGATTCCAGACTCTCATACAACATCAATGACATCAGCTTCTAGTGCATTTAATGAATGAATAAAATATCGTAATTTTACAGTATAACTTGATTAGCCAACTCGCTTATGCGTATAACTCTTTTTTTACAATATGTAAATGAACTTTGTATATGTGATACTTAAACAGCTTCTAAGACACGTATGGTGTACACGTGTGCTAACGCCATACTGTAAGGTGAGCGTAGGGCTTACTAGAGAATGATAATAACCAAGTTTTCTGATGTAAGTTCCACTGTTCATGAATTTAACGAATATCTGCCGACATTTGAGCTTACAGGAAATCAGGTTAACCTATTGAGTAATGAGTTAGAACCTGTTTTTATCTCACAAGAGAGTAGGAAGACGCAGCAACCTGTTAGATTGTAGTATGTTGTTTTGCCGTAAACATTGAAACAGTGGAACTTTCTATAATAGAAGTGTTACAATTAGTGCTATGTGTACTTTTTTCAAAACACCCTGAGAAAAGTTCTTGTTGAAGCGTCAACTACTGGTTTCCTTCCCATCTACTTGGTTTCATCTTTTAGTCATACGCAGACTAGTTATTATTTGCTTACCAGTATATTCATTCTTCTTGGCTTTCATTGGTCACCAAATAGTCATTTCAGGTAACAACACTAATGTGAAACATGGCAGATCTTCATCCAGGTTTACTTTTTCTGATTCTGGTTTTTGCTGTGCCTTTACAATTCTACCTCTCTCCATCATCAAGTGCAGATATTAAATACTACCTACAGAGGTTGGTGGACCCTTTTCACTTTCCTCAGTAACCGTTTTTTGTCGTTTTATAGCTTGTTAGCTGAATGTTGCGATTTAAAGCGACGGTGTTCTTTATTGCCCTAAATTGAGAAAGCTTGAGCTTCTACAAACCACAGTTATTACAATCTTTTCTTTCATTTATAAGCCTTTATTGTAAAACAGAGTTATGGCTTCGCGCAGTTTCGCTGACTACTTTTTATCGTTGCATGTAGGACATTTGTGTACAACCGTAGGCTAATGCACAATCAAATGATTTTCACCCTTCATTGTTATCATATTCCGTGACATTATAAATTCTGCAGGCTTACCGATTCTGTGATTCGTACTAGCGAAAGCTTCGGCATTCATCTTCCTTTCGTGCACATAAGAAAAAGTCAAAAGGAAAAGGCTGATTCTCTGGATGGTGGTGACGAGGACATCGTTGATGAAGAGGAGCGAAAGGTTACTGCATCGTATGGAAGTAGGATGCTGTTGTCATAAGATACCCCACTTCAAGATTGTTTGTTGCTATAGTACCACTTTACAGACTCACTGCAAGTCCGAGAACGAGCTCCACATGTAAAATGGAGAGTGGGTCAGGTCATAAAACATAAGGTATCTTGTTAGGTTGGTTTACTAGT